ACTTAATAGGTCAAAGTGTCAGATTGTGAATTTGAAAACACGGGTTCAACTCCCGTTATTCGCCTCTTGCATCTGAACTCTGGCGAGCCTAAATCCAGCCAAAGCTGGCGTCAAGACAGTTATTCATTGACTGAAGTCAATGAATCTAAGTTAATTGATTCAAACAACCACATAAAGAGTGAGTTGGGTACAACATATAAACAAAAAATTGCTGAGATATAGAGACTTTTTCTAAAGTAGTACTTTTTTTAATATCCATGTGATTAACCAAAGTATACTGATATTGACCGTATAATAAGACTCTGGAAACATAACAAAGCTATCAACACTACGCGTCAAATCTTCAGTGCTTTGCAGGCGCTCGCAAGAGATCACTTTTTCAAAGTAATGATGCGCCGCAGCCTTGGTGTCATGATTAGAAACACATGCTATGTTTCCACAAATGGATTGAAAAGTAGGTACATGTAATTGATCAATACTTCGTAAACAACACAACCTTCCGTTGCCTATATTTTGTTCAAAACCAAAGTGCATGGTTTGAGTAATTTGTATCTTTTTTGTATTGGATAAGATAACACCTGTAATCAAAATACAAACTCCTCCGTGTGACAAAATCATATTCATTGGTGCAGACCCAGGTGTTATATTTGAATGTTCCATGGGCAGAGTGCCTTGAAGAGGTAGTATACATGGGTTTTAAAGGGCGGGGATGGGGCTATAGATGGGTTTTGAAGAGGATTGATGTGGTTTTGACTTCCAAGGGGTATATTTCGGCCTGATTTTTTGTTTTTTTTTCCCGTTTCCGAGTTCATAAGGAAGTATGAAGTGACCCTCAGCCAAAAGTTGGTGGCATTACAATCCTGGACAACATTTTCTTTAAGAGAATTTTTTCGGAATTTTGGGGCCTCACCGAAATTACCACAAATTTACTGAATATAACGCCCGGGTTTTATAAACAAATATAACGCTCGACGGGCGTTATATTCGTACACAACCCCCGACGGGCGTTATTTTCGGGTGAAGACCGTAGTGGCAGCAACAGCAGCAGCAGCAGCAGCAAAACACCAACAACGACAACAGTGACAACAGCGACAACAACGATAACAACAACAACAACAACAACAACGACAACGACAACAACGACAACGACAACGACAACAACAACGACAGCGACAGCGACAGACTCCGGCTGACGTAGCCATCATGTGCACACGTCTCAGCAAGATCTAAATCTGTGACAGCTGAATCGCCTTAGCCAACCTTTACCGCTGATCAGACGCTTTAGAGTTCAAAGCTTTGCTGGGTGGAGCGCGTTGGTGACGCCCATATTCTTGGAAGATGAGAAAGGAAAGACAAAAATAGCACAGTGAAGTTCTGTCAAAAAACTTTCAAAGTTGAATGCCGCAGATTGAAGCTGTGACTGTCGATCCAGAACATTATCGGGCCCATTTGGGGACAAGCCCATTTTTGGGACATTGAATTCAGTTCACAACTTCTGCTTGACCCTTGAAATGAAAGTGAGTTAACAAAACAAACGGCAACATTTCTGGAACAGACGATCCAAAAAACCGAAAAATAAGAAAAAGGAGGGGACCACATGTGCTGAGCGACTGGCCAAAAAAAAAGAGCTTCAACTCACCAAGAAAGCTCCTCTGGATAGCTCGCTCCACGATGCCTTCAGCTTCCGCATTCCCTCCAGATCGAGCAAGTAACCTTGCGATGCGTTTCATTGCGTGGAAGAGAGTTGGAGAACCCGCTCCCTGAGCGGAGTTCGAGCCCACCTCCTCGTTGTCGAACAACGCAACCATCCGCACCGATTTCTCGTCTTCTAGAGAGTTTTCCTCGGAGCAGGAGTCGATGAGCGCCCGGAGAGCACAGAATGACGATGCGAGGTTATCGAGGCGCCCCGAGAATATGAACTCGTCCCGTGCACCCCCTATTGCACTTGGCTGAGTATCGCAAACGCTCATTTCCAAATCGACGATCTCATCAATGTCACATTTGAGCTCATCTGCAAGGATCTGAACATGCCACAGACGTCAGCAATCTATAACAACAGCAGCTAACAGCAGAAGTTGTCCACAAGTTAAGTCCTTTGCAAGTACGAGTACATAGCTAACACCAAACATTGTCTACATAACTAAGGGTTTAGGTTTTCAGGTTAAGGGTTAACGGTTTAGGGTCAAGGGTCAAGGGTCAAGGGTTTATGTTTTCGGGTTAAGGGTTTAGGGTTAAGGGTTTAGGGTTAAGGGTTAAGGGTTTGAGGGTTAAGGGTTAAGGGTTAAGGGTTTGAGGGTTAAGGGTTAAGGGTTAAGGGTTAAGGGTTAAGGGTTTACTAGTACATAGCTAACACCAAACATTGTCTACATAACTAAGAGTTTAGGTTTTCGGGTTAGGGGTCAAGGGTCAAGGTCAAGGTCAAGGGTCAAGGGTCAAAGGTCAAGGATTAAGGGTCAAGGGTTAAGGGTTAAGGGTTTGGGGTTTAGAGTTTAGGGCATAGTTAAGTTGTATGCAAGTACATGTTACACAGCCACAGTTCCAATCAGATCGACACCAAGTTTTCAACGCCAACAACCCGACCTTCCCTCTCCCTCGGCCACCCTCACACGTACCACTTTGGAAACCAACAGCAACTTTAGGCGACATATTTGGTATTAGTCTATGAGATAAAAAACGATCAAAGCTGTTGAGCAGAGAAAGCCATCCTATTCTCTTTATGACTAAGAGCACACTGTGTAAACCAGAAGCTCCTACATCGTTTTTCTTTTCCCATCATTTCTTGCTGTTTTGTTTTTGCTCTTATAATACAGTGTATAAGCCGGGCTTTCGGTCGTTGGTGGTGTATATTTCCATGTTGTGGCAGTGGATACTTCCATGTTCTAGGGGAAGATTCAATCCCATTTTGCTCATTTGGTGAAGTGTGGCAATGTCGGTCTGTGTGTGTGTGTGTGTGTGTGTGTGTGTGTGTGTGTGTGTGTGTGTGTGTGTGTGTGTGTGTGTGTGTGTGTGTGTGTGTGTGTGTGTGTGTGTGTGTGTGTGTGTGTGTGTGTGTGTGTGTGTGTGTGTGTGTGTGTGTGTGTAGGATGAGCACAATTGGGATGTATCTGCAGCCAGAACATGGAAATATACACACTGCCACACCTTTTTTTTTCTTCATCTTTTTTCTTTTTTTTTTGTGTCTGTGTGTGTGTGTGAGAGAGAGAACAGGTAAGTCTCCAACCTCACGGCTGGCCTCATGGTACTTCCATCGATAGGATGAGCAAAATCGAATGAATCTCCCACTAGAACAGGGAAATATACACTGCCACACGTACGCATGTGTGTGTGTGTGTGAGAAGAGAGAGAGAGAGAGAGAGAGAGAGAGAGAGAGAGAGAGAGAGAGAGAGAGAGAGAGAGAGTTTGCTCGCCGGAAATTTTTCTTTTTTTTTTGTGTGTGTGAGAGAGAGAGAGGGAGAGAGAACAGGTAAGCCTGAGTAATCACTGTGTTCCTTTATTACAAAAAGAAAGAAACAAACAAAAAACAGGTTAGTCTCCATACGTTTTGTCTTTTGTGCATTGAATCCGAACACGCTAAAACGTGCAGCTATGAACTTGTACTTGAACAGCCTGAATGGAAACAAAGCCCAGCCGCGGCCTTTTAACCCCCACGCTGAAAACTTGTAATCGAACGGCGCAAATGGAAGCGGCCTTGAACACCGACGGGCGCGAAAGAAAAGAAAGTGCTGCACGCGAATGGAAAACCCACGAGCTCGCGCCAGGACGGCCAAAGCAAAACAACAATTTCAGCGGGTTTCCCTTGGGCCCCCGCGCCTTGTCCCTCACTGTTTCCCAACACAGGGAGCTCGGGCTCGCTGGAGCATCACGCGAGACCCGCTGTTCCCTTTATAAAGAATATACAAGGAGGGGGGGAAAGTAAAGATTGTGTGTGTGTGTGTGTGTGAGAGAGAGCGAGAGAGAGCGAGAGAGAGAAAGATAGAGTACCTCCAAAAGAAGAGAATGGTGGTATTCCTTTGCTGAAATTCCACTTTTATTCTTCTCTTCCTTCTCAGAGCTCAGCTTCAGCTCTGATTTGATTGCTGTTGCCAGGACAGGCGCTAGATGTGACTCCGTATTGTACTTGAAACCGTCCTGGACAACCGTACGATCAAAATGGATCGCCAAAGTGGGAATCCTCATGATGGGTCTTCGAACCTGCAAGCATCCATTTCAATAGACAAACCCATTTCAATGTATGAAGGTTTAACTTCCTTCAGGTGAAAAACGAAAAAGAAAACGAAAGAAAAAAAAAAAGAAAAAAACGAAA